TTAGACATCTTTATACCCCTCTTCGCAGTATTCTGGTTCTCTTTAATCGCCAACCTACCTACTTCAATTCGCAATCGCCGCTGGCCTCCAAACCTCTCAAGACACCAACCAGCAGCCGCCAACAAGCAGTCTTTGCTAGTCCCGTTCTACGCCAACAATCTCGCCATTGTTGTTGCGCAGCGACTAGTCCTGGCTTGACTTTCTTCGTCCTCCCTTATTCATCTCTTTTTATTTCCTTCATCTTGTAACGATTAGAGCTTATGCCCGCTCCGGCTTCTCCATAGACTGAAAGACCTACCATCCGGTGAGTGGACAATACGTCTCTTCTCTACTACCTTATCCTTTGGCATCAGCCAATGCCACTGCACCACATGGTTTTCCCGCGATACCTATGAGGGACCTGGATGAGAAAATCATGTCCCCGCCCTCCACCTGTCATTGGTATTTGCTTGCGCTATAACTGCCATATGCTCGTGCGCCCAAGCATTGTTTTGATTTTCACGAGCCCAAGCTGACTGATTCACAGATATCCCTTTTTTGTTTGTTATCTATCCAAGAGTAAGGAGTTGCAACTTATACATACGTTTGCGCGCGCGCCTTGAGTACTTGGTCATTTGGAATTGAATCCTTATTTTACAAACACCCGTCACGTGGTTCGATTCTGAACGACCACTTGACGTTTTCAAATTCCTCTGGGCTTCACAACATTACCTCGATTGATCCCTGTCTTTTCGGTCACTTAAGTCTATTCACTGCGTGGTGCAGCAGCTTCAGACTTGGCTCAGCGAGCCTAAAAAAGAACGCGCCCCAACATCACTGACGACCCATAATCCGACAACGAAGATGAGCACCGGTGCTCCTAGACCGGGTGCGCCATCGAAATCCGGCCAAGGGCCATTTGCGGCTGGTGCCCAGAACTCCCAGAGCCATCTGTTGGAAAAAGTTAACGCGCGCACATCAACGCCGGATTCTGAAGCTCTGGCAAGCTCAGATGACGAGGCCGATCATCGGCACGAATCGTCGCAGGCAGCAGCACATCCACATAAACCGATGAGGCGATCCTCCTGGCTGAACGACACCTCCCAGTCATTTAATCGCCCCCGAAAGGGTTCTTTTGCTAGTGGTTCCATGTCGCCAACAGCTTCCCATCCCAGCACGCCATCTGGAGAGGTTGGGAACGCCCCCTGGGGATCTCATTCGAATTCTTCCAACATGAATCGCGCTCCCGGTGGTAACAATTTCCCATGGGGTGCTGGTATTTGGAACAATGAGCGAAAAGACCCTCCTATGCGACTTAGCGAAGTTCTTCCCTCCCCTACATCAACTGTTCCTCCAGGGATGAGTTCAAATTCTTTCTTCGGGCCTGAGCATGGAATTACTCAGGCCTCGCCAAACACTCGCGAGCCAGGATCGAATTCTCAGATTCCCTTTGCGATCCCTCTTCACCCTACACCGAAAACATATCGATCCCAATCGTATTCAGTTGGTCAGATGGAGCTCGAATCAGCTGCGCCCCCTTCAATGAGTTCTTCTGCTGTCCTCGGGAGAGCAAGACATCCTGCCCTACAGCACCGACCCTCGCGCCCCAGCATGCTGAGCGAGATGGCTAGCGACGGCTCAATGCTAGGAAAGGTCAAGGAGGTTGATGACGATGAGGAGGAGGGCAGCCTTAGCGAATCAATGCAAGGGTCATTCACGCAGAGCGCCGAGTCGAAGACGATCGAAATGCTTGCCAGGGAAAACGCTTTACTTCGGCAGCAGCAGCAGTATGCCAGGGTTCGACCTCGCGCTATGACCGGGACATCGTACTTTGGCAATGGATATTCCACGGTACCCGAAGAATCCGATTTCGCTATCGACGAGCTGGATGAGCTTAACGACGGCGGTGAATCCTTTGCCAGACGAGCTGCTAATAGCAGAAGAATGAGTGAGTACGGCGTGGCACCGGTGCGCTCGCCCTTCTCAATGGACCCCCGAAAGGTGGACAATTCCAACTTGAAGAAAGCTTTGTGGTCTACATCCGCCTATCCTCTTGGGGATGGCTCTCAGAGCAGGCGACATTCGTTTGCCAACATGCCGACTCGGCAAGGATCGATTAGCTCCATCGCGGACACAACATCCACTTTGGATATATCAACACCGGACGGGCAACAACAGCTACAGGATTATGTGACCAGTCTCGCAGAGAGCAACCAGGGCTATGTGACGAGTGGTAACCCAGGTATGTTACTGTATCCGACGATTTGGGAAATGGAAGCTGACTTTCGTGTAGGATCATATATTGGCGCTGGCCCGGCCCTTGGCGCAAACATACCTCCTGTATATGCAAGTCCGTACGGAGCGCCTTACGGAAACCCACCTCCATTCGTCAACCGAGCACCCTCTCCTCACCGCAATGTCTTCAGCATGGCACAGCCTAGACACAATCAGCTCCTTCATATGGTTCTTTTCAAGTGTGCTCGGGCCGATGTATTTTACATTCAGGAAGGTACTGGCTTGACTGTCAAGCCGGGCGACCTTGTCATTGTCGAAGCAGATCGTGGTACCGATCTGGGCACTGTGGCCAAAGACAATGTCGATTGGCAAACAGCCAAGGAACTCAAGGAACACTACGCCGAGGAACATTACAAGTGGTTGATGATGTACTCTCAAGGCGCAGCTGCTGCTCAGGAGGGTACCGGTACTACCATGCTTTCATCCCCGAATGGACTTCAAGGAAGTGCTGTTGGAGGAATGGGACCACCAACACAACACCATATGCAAGAACCGAATGCTGGCGAGCTTCGGCCAAAATTGATCAAACGACTTGCGCAGAGCCACGAGGTCCATTCCTTGCGGGACAAGGAAGGCCAGGAAGCCAAAGCGAAGCGAGTTTGCATGCAAAAGGTCAAAGAGCATGGTTTGAATATGGAGATTCTTGATGCCGAATTCCAAATGTAAGTTGAAGCTCCACGCTGGTTATCCAGGCAGGACAACGCTAACACGCAGCAGGGATTGGAAAAAATTGACCTTCTACTATTTCGCCGATGCTTATATCAACTTTAACTCCTTAGTAACCGATCTATTCAAGATCTACAAGACCCGCATTTGGATGTCAGCAATCAATCCGGCCTCCTTTGCAAGCCCAACTCTGGGCATTCAAGCTCCAAGTGGTGTAGGGCCTGGCGCTGTCGGTGTTGGCCGGTCATCAGCTGGTGGTGAGAGGCGTCAAACCCAACAGCCGCAATCTCAACAGCAGCAGCCGCAGCAACAGCAGCAGCAACCTCTGCCACAGCAAGAGCAGTCGCCATCCAACTATGGCCCTAGGTCTCAGCCAAGCCGTGGGTTTCAGCCATCGGTCAACCCATTATTTACAGGAGAGAGGATGCCAGCGGCCGGTACTGCCTATCCAGGGATTACCTATGGTTATACACAAGCTGGGGCATTTGGGAACGCCAGAGCTGCAGCCCAATTTGGACAAGCAATCTCTCCGAGTGCCGATGGGTTCCCCGGCGCTGGATTTCAACAGCTCGGAGATTTCTCATCGATGCGCCAGCGTTTCCCTTCCCAGCCCAGTCCAAACCCCCATGCGCAAGGTGTATCGCCTATCTCAACACAAGCTGATTGGACCAGTTCATTCCAGGGCCTCTCACTGAACTCTCACTAAGGTCAGATTCAAGAGAAGCTGATTTCATGTATACGCAATTGGGGGATTCTAGACTTGTCAATCGTTATTATCTTTGATTACAAATGACATGCACGTTCAGGAACGTTAACAGGAGTGACGAGATCAGAAATTGTTTTTTTGACGATTACACCTGGTTGGGCTTTATGGGAACACTATTCTTTTTGCTCTTTATATCTATCATTCATTCCTCTTACAAAACCAACTGATGACGGAGACAATTCCGTGGTTGTTTTACTTTGGTTTTATTGCTTGTTGGTTTTATACACGGCCTATTTGCTTTTGAGTTTTCCTTCCTGGCACCGTCTATTATTTTATGAATTAAGACAAGATTGGAGACGGCTGGAAAATGTTTTGCTTTTGCTGGATGGGCAGAGACCATAGACACAGAGACGAGTTGATACATTTACGGTGTAACTAATATGCAATCAAAGGTGGGGAAGCTTGGGTATGGAATTGAAGCCGTGTACGTTTAAATGACAAAAAGATCAGTGTGCTCTTTTGCATTTTAAGGGTGGGGTTTCGGGAAGGCCAGATTGGGTGGTTCTAAAGAAGGCATTTTGGTGTTTGGGTTTAAAGACGGGTTCTGCGACGAAATTGACGATGTTTTCATGATCTCAGCTCGCTCTTATGTGATGTAGATATCCTGGTCTCCTCAATTCTATGGTCCTCGCCCATAGGGAGACTTGCTACAAAACTACACATCTACAAATTGAGTGGTCCTGGCGTGGTGGCATCTTGACCTGCTTCTATAATCCTCCTGTTAAAACAAGATTGACCTAACAGTTCATATTGATACGTTGTAGGTGAGGAGGCAGGTGATAGGCGCCAACTCTAACCATCATAGAGAGCGGGTGGCTGGACAGAAGTACCTAGTCAGTCGCTCCTTCCTCAGCTATCTGGGCACACAAGACAAAACGACCTTCGGCCACGTACCAGAACTACAATTGCCCTCCACATCACCGCAGGCCGCCTTGACTCCCATTTTTCTCCAAAGAAGACAAGGCCAAAACACTTTGATTTCTAAATGTTCTCTTGCAAATATGGCACCGAGCACCCGCAAGAGAAAGCAGGCCGTCGACACGGCAGTCGGTCAGTGAGATTTTCTTAGCAGTACGTTCAATTAAGCCTTTCTAACGGTTGAGAAGAGGACGCCAAGAAAGCAAAAAAGTTATCAGTCGCAGCAGTGCAACCCTACCAGGAAAACGATGCGCTTGAGGATGAGCGGCGTGATTACCAGTTCGTTCAAACCAACTTCTCTAACTGACGATCAGAGATCTCACAAATAAGGCAATTCTTTGAGGAGGCGAAGGGACAGAAAAGGCGCAAGGTGACCATGCCGATTGCCAAAGCTGAAATCCAGGGCCATGTTGAAGATATCCTGGCATTCATTCAAGAGAAGGAAGAGGGATTGTAAGCTTCGACCTCTATCTCCCCGAGGAAACTCGGTCTCCACTACTTTGATTATTGACTTGCATAGAATTGGGACCAGCCTCGATCCAGGACATTTCCCAACGATTTCGCCAGATCTTGAATCAATCGGAGGTTTAGGAAGACAGTCCAGCATTCACAATCCAACTTTTCAAAGGGCGAAAGATGCCCTGTATCAGTTCAAAGATATGATCACCAAGTACCAAGCGCCTGAAAAATACGAAGATGGCATTACAATGCCTACCGGGGTTAGGTGGGCGCAGGATAAGAGGGATCTTGAATCCTTGGATGACCATGCGATTTTCACGGCAACTCGACTAATCAGCAGTCTCATCGTACCAAATCCAAGCCCATCGCTGAAGAGCCCACCCGATCAAAAAGATGAAATCGCAAGGATGGCTTGGGAGTTCTTTCCAAAGGAAATATCCGGGATGGCGAAGGACACTTGGGGCAAGATTGCACAAGAACAGGTCAAAGCATTCACCCATGTGTTGCGCTCCGTGGAGAAAAAATGAGCAACAGATGTCAAGGAGTTTTGGGTGATCATTAAAACCAAGCGAAGATCCTCAGCCAATAGCACATATCTACTTGATATAACCAAACGATCGATCTTGGTCAAAAGTCTAACACGCATGTACGCAGACATGCACGGTGTTGGGAGCTTACTCATCAAGGCACAGGGACAGGTACCTTAGGTACCCACCTAAGTCATTACTAAGCCATATGAGGGCTTGACCCGCTTGGTGCGAGGAAGAGGGGCAGCCCTTTGCGCTAGTCTGTATTTGATCTAGCCTATTGGCTCGCCCACAAACATTTCATTTTTACACCAAACTTCCCAACCATCCAAAATTTCTTTGTGGAAATAGTTCCTTCATCAACTTCATCCTACTAACCACAGGACAGAACACCCCCAAAAACCGGTTTGTATTCACCCTCTCCCATCATCACCACCATCCTAAGTTCTATACTAATAGAATTTATCCAACAGCCAAGATGGGTGCCCTTAAGTACGTCGAGGAGCTTCAGAAGAAGAAGCAGTCGGATGTTATGCAGTTTCTTCTGCGAGTCCGCTGCTGGGAAGTACGTTAAACCGATTCGATGTTACAAATATTCAATTGCAAGTGTGGGCGGGCATTGGGGTTCAACTTGAACGACGTGAGTCGATTCCTCGCTGCGTCTTTCGTCTTTGGCGATTTGAATGACACTCGAGGAAGTCAGAAGTCGGAAAAGTTTTACCCACAAGCCCGTCTTTGCTATACACTCGTTGAACATATGCTGAGAGTGCATCAATATAGCTTCGTCAATTGAACGTTATCCACCGTGCCTCGCGCCCTTCGCGCCCCGACAAGGCTCGCCGTCTCGGCTACAAGGCCAAGCAGGGATACGTCGTCTACCGTGTCCGTGTCCGCCGTGGTGGCCGCAAGCGACCTGCTCCTAAGGGTGCCACATACGGTATGTCTCTTCAGTTCAGTTCATCGTTCCGGCAGGACGATGCAGTTGAAAGACCAGTCTGGCTAACATGAATTTTTTTTCTCCTCTCACAGGCAAGCCCACCAACCAGGGTATCAACCAGCTCAAGTACCAGCGCTCCCTCAAGGCCACCGCTGAGGAGCGTGTCGGTCGCCGCTGCGCCAACTTGCGCGTCCTCAACTCCTACTGGATCAACCAGGACTCGACCTACAAGTACTACGAGGTCATCCTCGTCGACCCCCAGCACAAGGCCATCCGCATCGACCCCCGCATCAACTGGATCGTCAACCCCGTCCACAAGCACCGTGAGGCCCGTGGCCTCACCGCCACCGGCAAGAAGTCCCGCGGTCTCAACAAGGGCCACCGCTACAGCAAGACCCAGGCCGGCCGCAGAAAGACCTGGAAGCGCCACAACACCCTCTCTCTCTGGCGCTACCGGTAAACGGCTCGCCACGGAGTCGTTGGCTTGGTTCGGCGGCCAACTGCACCTCTGGGGGGCCCTCGGGTCCATGTTGCAATCTTTGGCACAGTGGTGTTTTGGTCGTCGGCTTATTTCGCTTGGGCAAAATGGGTGTGGTTCATGGTTGGGCTCTGCCTTGCTCCCCTTATGGGGGGCTTAAAACTACTTATGATAGCAAAATGGGAATGAAAGTTAATCCCGGAGACAAATGTTCTTCAATTCGTATATTGATGATGGCCGTCGTGTCCTGCCCTCGTTGAGTGATGTGTGCAATGTGCTCCAGTCCAATCTCTTCGCATAGAAATCACAATGATTTGCCTGTCATCGTACTCTTTTGAACTAGTATTTCCAGCGCTCTCCACCAGACGAAATGAAATACTTCCGTCTCCAAAAGTGTGAAATCCCAGTCCCGCCCTACGACTATGAAGAATCTGAACCGGCTACGCTTACTAGCTCAAAGAATATCAAGCACTACGAAAACACATCACGGTTGGTTCACAGCACGGACAGATTCAGACTGCGTTGACGAGCAAGACCGAATTTTAGCTCGAAGAAATTTCTAAATACAAGGAACAAAGGGCCCTTTTTCTCAGTGGATCTGACCCAATTCAGGCCCGGGCGGCAAACCAAACCAGTCGACCACCTCTCGATCCAAAGCCTCATAGCAAACTCAGTCCCAAAGAGAATGGGGAGGGAGCAAGCTAACCCATGCGGGTGAGAAAGGCACAGGAAGAAAAGAGCAACACGAGAGAATTGGAAAAGAGAAGAAGAGAACGAATGGCAAAGTACAGGAAAAAAAAGATAAAAAGAAAAACCGAGAAAAAACTTGTCTGAACCCCATTGAAAGCAACCCAACACATGCCGTGTTCAGGGCCCATTTGCCGAAATGACTGTGTATAGACGAAAAGAAGCAAGCAACCCATCCCTCCCAGTCGAATGTGGCCGCAAGATAGAGGCACAAAAAGTACAGTAGATTCGCCGACCTTGACTTCATTCCCATGAAACGTTCGCCTTGTGGGAAGTTCCTTCCTGTTCCAGGCAGCTGAATGAAAAAAGAGTTCCCAGCCCAAGCGCCGAGCTCTATCGTCAGAGAGAGAAAAATCTCGTATGCTCGTCATATCGGAGCATCAGCTCGAGGCACGAAAGCCATGCGCGATAGCATCGGGGAGCTTGGATCTGCGGGAAGACTCGACTTCGCAACGAAAGCGCGAGATCAAAAGGAAAGAAACAAAAGGAATATCTATGCCGGTGATGATCGTAAAGTTCAAAGTACAGGTACACGTTGAAGCTGTGTAGCCCTGCGTCTCCATACCTCCAGGATTGGTGGTAAGAACTCTGCAGGTGGCTTGCTTCAACTGCCATGAATGCTCTTCTTTCTTATTTTCCTCCGTAAAACTCCCCAGTTTCCATATTGTACACACAAAGATCAACCTGCTTGGGCACTCTATCGCGATGAGAAGAATCAGACTCATCGATAATAGAGTAAGCGGGGCTTCAATGTGTTTTCTGTTCTATTGCGACTTTGTTTTTCAGGGATAAACTGAGTCACGTCTCGCCAAGTGCACAGCAAAAGAAAATTCATCAGTCGTTGGCGTGTCGTGACCATATCGTGCAAACTCAAGTACCATGAAGTAGCAGAAATATAGCAAAAGGCATCATTGTACATGCAAATCGAAGTGTAAGTGACGGTGCGCCTAAGCCGGCATATTACACCCAGTGAGCCTCAGCACCCTCGGGAGGACTGTTTGCTGGGGCTTGGGCCCCATTGAACGGGGCCGACACAAGAGGAGTAGCTTGTGATGGCTGCACAGGACCTCCTTGGGTGGAGGGTGCGGGGACAGGTGCTGCGTTTGCCATTGTCGAGGGCGCACTCTGTCCAAAACCATTTGCTGCGCCGTTCGCAGATCCGTTACTTTGCAGCATGGAACTACTTCCAGACAGAGTTCGTGGATGGCCAGTCCGGAGAGGGATCTGACCTTGAGTATTGTCTGCTGGAGTGACCTGCCCGCTCGAGGCAGCGCTGCCCCGGTTGTCGTAGGCAGAGATCTTGGCTTGGATACGACGACCGTAGGGTGTAGATCGAATCTGAGGGAGGATAGGCCGGATAGCCTCGACCAAACGATGCTTCTGATGAGGAGTAGAATATTCCAGAGCTGTCTGGACCACATAGTTGGCGAACGAGTCTCGAAGAAGTCTCTCCATCTCCTGCGGAGACAGCATCTCCTCAACAATCATGTCCTTGGAAGGAGTCTGAGCACATCGCAAGCACTTCTCAATTACATTGGAACTGAACTTGTGGCGTGATAGAGCACTAATGCAGCCCTGGAACATGGCAACAACAGGCTCAGTGAAGGTTGGTTCGTTGAGGTCGATGATGTACTGGACAACGTAGTTTCCGAAGGGATCCTGGACCAGGATGCGAGAGTGCTCTGTGATTCTCTGGATCAGCCAGAGCTTCTGGTCACCCGAAGCGTGGTCAATGCAGCGTTGAAGAACGCAGCAACCATGGCGGTGAGTTCCAACTTCGACACAGTTGTTGCCAACGGCATCAAAAATGAACTGGGCATCAGCGGAACTGAGTTTGTTCAGGCATTTTTGAATGACATGGTTGCCGTTGAGATCTTGGATAAGCTCGACGACACGGAAGCGGAGTGCTTCAATGATGAGCTGTACATGTTGAGGAAGATTGACGTGCTCAATCATCTTTTGCAGAGCCCGGGTTCCATGCTGGTTGAGTGCAATACGAACCATGTCTTGAGAGGCGTTTTTTATCAAAACAGTCCGCTCATCATCATTGCAAAATTCAAGAAGCTTCTGGCACAAATAATTACCAAAGGGGTCTGTCATGAGTTCAATGACATGCATGTTCGTCTCGAGCCAAATCATGTGAACCTGTTCAGGGTTGCGTTCTTCGAGCTTCTTTTGGAAGTAACGGCAACCATGCTGATCCTTGCACAAGTCATAAATTTGGCCGCGGAAAGATTCGAGGGGCATATTCTGGTAGCGCGACATAACTAGGAGAGGCAAGTTAGCATCACATGCATTGAGAGGAAGGACGTGGCAATTTCGAAGTATGTTTGCTCTGCTTACCTTCATTGTCAAGCTGTCGGCGGTGCTGGATCACACGTGCCTGACTGTCACGAGGGGGCTGCGAAGCCTGGTTGAAAGGCACTGCACCATAACCACCGGCGGCACCAAAGTTGCCATTAGGATACACGTTGCCGCCAGCGACCCCGTTCACATTCATCTGCTGCATACCAGCATTGAGCATATTCATCTGGTAGTTGGCAGGAGGGCCATTGACACCATTCGCAGGAACATATCCGTTTGGAGGGTAAAACCCGTTGAAGCCATTCATCATATTCATGTTGGGGGGAGCGGTGACAGGAACAGATGGCTGCTGAGCCGTGGTGGTGACGCTAGGGCCAAAGGGAGCAGCACTTGCCTGGAGAGCAGAATGGAGCGACTGGTACTGGTGAGTTGGGTCCCGGGCGGTTGCAGAGTTGCTCTCAGCAGACAGCTCTCGGCTGTGTCCGCGAGTGGGTGCGACGCCCGAAGGGATGCGGCCCATGCTAGCATTGTGGT